GTCTCTCCTGGCTGCTCACCAAATGAGCCAAACATCCTGTTGATATAGTCAGAAGGAGGTGTGACAAAAGTGTCTTCACCCATCGTGGCAATCAACTCATGCAAATAAAGGACTGTGTTTGTGCCAGTCATGGCACAGTCACTGTCTATGGTAGTCCCTTTTGTAAATGAAGGATTGTGTTTGCTCCAGTCACAAGTTTTCTGCTGGGCCAGCAGGAAGTGCTCCACCTCTGGTCTGGTTACAAATAATGCAGGGTCATCTGAAGATCACCAAGGCTTGTGGTGGCAAAAAGTCTGGTGCAAGTTGTTTGCTGGGACAGTGCCTTCAGGAGCTGGAGTCAAAGCAGCTGGTGCCTACATGAGTGCAGTCTGGCTGCCTGGCTGAAAGTCCTTGCCCAAGATAGGCAGGTTTGGGGACGAGTTTAATAGTTGCAACTGTAAAGTTAAATCTCCCCAGTCCCCAACATTTAAGTACATTTAAAGGAAAAAAATAAACTTTCATCAGGGTGCTTACAACAAAGGCTTATCAGTAACAGTGCTTTCACAGTATTTCACAGTGTTCTAACAATGCTTAGCTTCCTGCCTCAGTGCCTCAGGAGAGGTGGCTCCTTACCATCTGTTTCAGTATGGCTAAAGGCAGAGTGAGAAAAAGGAGGCTGTTGCATCATTTTAGATTAAAATGCTCCTGTGGTCTACATGAAAGTGGGAATAGAGAAGTAGATTCATTTTGAAGATATTAGGAAGGTAGATTTGTCAGGACTTGCATAGTCATTTCTCTTATCATTTCATCTTTATAGAACTCCTAGTTTACATGTTAAGTATTGTACTAGACCTGAGGAGATACAATGGTAAAGACAGAATATGATCTCGTCCCGATAGTCTTAGGGTATAGAAAGACAGATATCATAGTGTATATAAAGAAAGACAAATAATTACATGAGTGATTAATATCTGTGATAAAACCTTCAGAGGAGGAGTTACTCCATGCTTTTGCAGGAGAACCTGACGTAATCAGACTAATACCTTGAAAAGTAATTTTTTTCTTTTGGTGGTACTAGAGTTTGAATTTAGGGTCATGCACTTGTTAGGCAAGCACTCTACCACTTAAGCCATGTCCCCATTGCTTTACTTTACCGATAGGTTCTCACATTTTTGCCAGGGCTGGACTTGGATGCTTCCCTATAGCTGGGATGACAAACACATATCACCACACCTGGTTTATTGGTTGAGATGGAGTCTTGTGATGTTTTTGCCTGGTCTGGCCCTGAACACTCTGTACCAAAACACTACAACTAAACTAAAACTCAGCATATCTGAGTTTCAGCACTATTTCATTTAATGATGCTATTTCAGGAAATAGTATTTCACATGCTGTGCTTACAAGTATCAGTCTGGCCAAACTTTCCTCATTTGAGTAATGCTGTGGAATTAAGCCAAGAAATCTGGGAAAGGATGGTAAAGAGACAGTATTTATATATATATATATAAATAATTCTTACTCAAAATCATTGGGTTTTCTATTGCAAGAGATTTTAGGTGTTTTATTTGGTGGTTAGTTCTCCACTGAATATTTATCATATTTTAGCACACATAAAGACTTAAATTTGCTTACAAAATGCTATTTAAGATAGACCAGCTTTCTTAGTGGAGAGTCACAGCCCTGCCATGCTTAGCACCTTTGGTAAATTCATTCCTGTACTAAATGGTTTTACCATCAGTGAGTACTAAAGAAAAGCAACATGGGTCTTCTCTGTGTCCTTTCCAAATTCCTTATGGAATAAGTGAGGTAGGTACTATAACCATAGTTAACGTTTACTGAAAACCTACCACGCACTTGGCACATTTTTTGGGTTTAGGAGCTACAAACATTCTAAAGATTTTATAAGATTAAATAGCTTAAATACTCAACATTAAAGACAAAAGTTGAAAGCAGTCCTAGTCTAATATATCCCTTATGCAAATTAGGAAAATGTACTTCAAATTGGGTTGGATGCATATGAAGTTGTACAACTAATTATTTCTCTAAACATATGTCACAGATAGTGTTGGCTCCACAAAGGCATACCAATCAATATACAGCTCAAGCCTGCTGTATTGTCTAACTCACTTCAATAATAACCTCTGAGGACAAGACTATGTCTGTTTAAAGAACATAGTTATAACAAAGCAAATTAAGTCTCGTGCAAGTTGATTCTGAAGTTACTGCTGTAACATGTAAAGCTCCATTATTTATTTCAGTCACAGAAAAGGCCAGTTATTGTAATATGACAAAAGCTAAGGGGCGAGATGCAAAGCCAGAAAAGAGACCAGTATTGTCTACTAGAGAACACACCTATGATGCTACAGAAGCAAAGGAAGTAGCTTTGTAACATTGTGCTAGTGCTACAAGAAAAAAAAAAAACAATTTAAGAGAGACAAGTACAGTATATGTTGTAGGAGATAGTTACAATATGTATTATAAACATAATGATCACTTATTTCCTGTCTGAAAAACTCAAGAAAGAACGTTGCTTAGATTCTTTGAAACTGTGTTATAAAGTTATAGTCTGATTTAGGCACATTGGTGCCTCTACGCCATTTAATGTCACTACATTTTAAAACAATGGCTCACAAGTCACTATAGAAAGTGAAGCTAGGATTAGAAATGACTGCAGTGATCTGGCGATGAACAAATATTTTCTTGTTGCATCACATTCCAGTCTGTACCTTAAGGATACAAGTATAACATCTGACATTACTGTGACCATCTTCTTGCTGTTACTGCTATTTCCATTTATTCAACCAATGATTATTTCCACTTACTCCAAGCAGTACTTGGAATAAGAACTATTACTTATGAACATCTTGCACAGTTCTTGCCTTATGGAAGGTACCAAGTTATTATTTGTATATTTTGTTTAGTTGCATGTTTGCAATTATAAATGTTGCTTATTTCTATGAATTATAGGACAATTGGTCTAATATATTATAAAAATATCTTTTGGTTCTATAATTGAATGATTACAAAATATCCTTTCTAAACTATAGCGCACATTGATAATGACAGTGAAGTTGAATATTTTGTGGAGCTCATAAACTCTTGAGATAATTTGCTTTGGAATTTCTTTTAATATAAATCTCTTTTTATAAAATAAATTAAATAGTCTTAAATGTAATTGGGAAGTTACAGAAAATTTAAAGATAAGTAGTCTAACTCTCTCTAGCTTTGTAGAAACATATTAAGGGACAAAGAATGAACATATCTAGGGGCTTAAACAAATGGTTCAATTATCCTGAGTTTTTTATTTCTTAAAGTATGAACCAGAATTCCCTTCATTTGTAAAGTTCACAGCTGACACAATGTTTAAAAAGTTACATTATGATAGTTTATGGTTCAGTTTTGAATATCAGTTTGTGCTACGTGTGACATATGGTTGGTTATTAGTACTATTAAGAAGATTACAGATTTATGAGCTTTGAAGGTTCTTTTTCCAATTGGTAGCTCTTGTTCTACCTTACTGAAAGTAAACAGGCCTATAAACTACTTCTCATTATGCAAGAAATGCAACTTTGAGCACAGCATTTAGGGAGCTGAGGAGAATGCAAAAGGCCACAGCAAGGATTTATGCGAAATGTGTTGGAAGACAGGAAAGAGAAACATAGCCGACTCTTATGAGAGTGACATTTTAAAATATATCATAAATACTTGGATTCATAATTTCAAGTAATACCCCAGCTGATACTCTTAAAAGTGTCTGCTTGAAATTTTCTTTACATCATTAATATTTTTAGTTGATTCCAATCTTAGTTTTATGTAGTCGATACTATTATCAAACATATTTAATTAATTTACTACACCTAAGTTGCTAAATTATAATAAGGGAGATAACTCCGATAGTAATATTTTAAAGTGTAAAAAGGTAACACTGTTCCTTTTGAAACTATAGTTTATGAATTTCAGAATGTATCATCATACAAATGACTTGCTTCTGCATCCAAAAGAAGTTGGATGATGGCTTGTATTAACCAAAGGGGGTAAAATTTCTGGTGGTGCATAGAATTTCAAAATAGGTTTTTTATGCAACAAATCCTGTATTTAAATTACTCAGAGGGTCTATAATTCTCTTTCACAACACCCTTACTTCAGCAGGAGTAGATGCTGTATATTGAACATAACTTGAGAACTCTTCTTCAGGAGACTTTTTTTCGTCATCCAAGGAAGAGTATGTTTGGTATAGCTTTGGTTTGCATTAGGCAATATCACATATCAATAGGCTATTAAACTGAGTTCAAATCCAGGACCACCACAAAAGATCAATAGACTATTAAATATTTATGTCAAGTATTTAAATTTTCATTTAAAAAAACATGTTCTTGCATGTTATCTTAACAACAAAATCTTTCAAGTTTTAACATAGAACACATTTGAGGTTCCTTCTAACTCTGGATAGTACTGATCCCTTTATACCTACCATATAATTTCCCATTTAAATATTTTGTAATTGATGGCACAAGTATAGTAAACTTTTAATCAAGTATGGAACTATTTTCTTATATACTTCTCATGCCCCTCTCCTCACATATTGCCTTCTACACAGACATGTGAAGTGTATATCATAATGTGACACTCAGTTCTTTGTTAGTTAGGTGAATAGACTAAAATTGATGTTTAGATGACATAGCGCTAAGGTCACTCAGCAAAGGTTAATTTTGCATAATTTAAGTACATTATTTAATGTTAGAGAGAAAAATTATTTTTTGCATATTATTCTGTAGAATGTTTATAAAGGGATACCTTATTTTTAATTATTCATTTTAACCCATCCGTAATGACTGTCTTTTAGGTGAGTAAACTTGAAGATTTTTTTTAAATTAAGCTAAGGTAAATATATAGCATGAATTTATAGTGAAATTCAGAGTACTAATGGTTAAACAAGATCTAATTCAGTACACTATCATATACCACTATTGTCATATTGAATAATGACTATATACAAGGAGAAACTGTCTATATTACATAAATACTATTAATGACAGGACTTGTTTTGGTTTATTAAAATGCAAGAATACAAATAGCTTATATCAGTAAAATACAGTAGTAATCAGGCTCTAATATCAACATTAAATCAAAGCCCATGGACAGAAAAGAGATTTAGAAGATTTTAGGGGTGAAAAAAAGGTAACATCAATTAACTGCTACTCTAGATTACACACAGCTGCCACAGGCAAAATAAAATAAAATGGCAATTAAGTTGATTGCAGTACTTTAATGTTTTAAAGAAAACTTATTAAAAATACAGATTTTAAGAAAATCTTACATTCTTGACAGATGTATCATCACCTACCTTTCTAAAAAATAGTAGGAGTAAACACAATTGTAGAAAATGCATGTTAAGTAGTCTTTGAGTGATACAATAGTATGGATTTAAAACCCTGACAGACCCCTACTTTCTGCTGCTTTGAAGTCAGACTGTGGCATGGAATTTATGTCAGGCTGGTTCCAAAATGCAATATTGGGTCCCAGGCCAGTGTTGGTAAACTGTGCCTATTTTGGCACTATTTCTCCAGCCATGAAAACATAAATAACAAAGAAAAAACTTAATCAACCAGTTAGTTGAGATACCAAGAAATAAAAGGAAATCAGTTTTATATAAACACTTTTCCCTCTTTTTTAAGCTTCTTTATTTACTCCGGATAGTTAACAAAACAGTGTTCAATAGTGAAGTAAGCAGATTTTACACTCACTATTACTGTACGGATAGAAAGAGCCATATGCATTTTTTGTTTGTATAAGTCATCTCAGACCACTGCAATATGGCACACAAGAACAGATTCAGAGGCACAAAATTAATAAAAACATTTAACACCGTGAAGCATTCAAAAGATAAATGCAACCATATAGCAAAAAATCCGTTTGTATCTTTGACCTTTTCAAGGATGTGAAGAATCTGTGTCAGAAATCTCTATAACAAAGATTCCTATAAGAGAAAAAACAATGCAATTAGTATTTTTAACTTGATTATTTCAGCATGTCTAAAAAATGTATTCCAGGATTACTTTAACAATACTTGAGTTTTACAGCTGGCTATTGTGGTGCACAGCTGTAATCTCAGCACCTGGGGGGCAAGAGCAGGAGGACTGGACCAGGAGTTCAAAGTCAGCCTAGGTTACATAGCAAGTTCAAGGCCAACCTGAGTTACATAGGGAGATCTGTCTCAACAAAACACCAAGCAAACAAACAAAAAAGATATTTTCCCCCAGCTTCTTTTTCACAAACTGGTATACATTCAAACCATGAAGTCCTATTTAATAATAAAAAGGAATGTACTATTCCTTTTTATTAAAAACTTGGATATGTATATGTATAAAAACTTGGATGGATGTAATGGGAATTAGTTGAATGAAAAAAAAGTCAATCTGAAAAGGCTCAGATCGTGTGTGGTTCCATTTATATAACACCCTCAAAATGTCAAAATTATAGAATTGGAGAAGAAATTTGTTTGCCAGGTGATAGGGATGGAGGGGGTAAGGGCTGCAACTGTAATGGGATATCACAAAGGAATAAGTTTGGGCACCCTCTATTGGGACCCCTTCCAGCTCTAGAAGCTCTATTCTTTGCTATTTTTCTATCTCAATAAACTCTACCACTTTACTTGCAAAATAATAATTTAAAAAAGGGAGTAAGTTTTTTGGTGCTGACTGAGCAATTCATTATCTCGATTAGTGGTGGTATGTGTAATGTGTAAAAAGACTACACACACACACACAAATGAACACATGTGGAAAGAAAGTAGTGAAATCTGAATAAGCACTGTACTGGTGTAATCATATTACACCTATGGAAATTTCCTGATTCATAAGCTATTACCATGTAGAAACTGGGGGAAGGATATATGGAACTCCTTGTGGGGTTTTTTTTTGTTTTTGTTTTTTTGTGGTACTGAGGCTTTAATTCAGGGCCTCACACTTGCTAGGCAGGCACTCTACCGCTTGAGCCACTCTGCAAGCCCTTTTTTGTGTTGAATATTTTTTAGATAGGGTCTTGAACTATTTGTCCAGGATGGCCTCAAACTGCAATCCTCCTGATCTCTGCATCCTGAGTAGCTAAGATTACTGAGTCACCAACGTCCAGCTGTCTGTGGATTTTTGCAGCCACTCCTAAGACTATAATCATTTAAAGAATACCTGGGTACATTCACACAATGGATATTAAATACAACTCAGACGTTAAAATGAACACGCAACAATTACTAATCATGCAACAACCTGGGTAAATCTCACATATGTACTGCTGAGTGGAAGTTGGTCATCAGAGGTTACATATTATGTAATACCATTTCTTTGACAACCTAGGAAAGACAAAACTAGAAAGACAGGCAATAGGATAGTGGCTGGGAAAAGTAAATTAAGTGCACTGACTTGTCTAGATGATAGGTAGCAGTCAAAGGATAACATTTGAAACTGACAATGAAAGTGTTTTTTTTTTTTAATAAAAGAGAGATGCTTAAAATGCAGGGATTCAAAAAAAGGCTAAACAAAGACATTTACCAGGCAAATGAGACAATAAGGAAACAGGAGTTGCAACCCTAATATCATAATACTAGACTTCAGGCCAAACAAAAAATCTAAATGCATCAGAAAAGAACACTTTATAAAAGCCACATCTCATGATGAAAAATGACAGTTCAGAATATTTGTGCAATAAATACAACAGTAAACCACCTATATAAAATTTTTATGGGATATGCAAGAAGCCTCCTAACAGAAGTCTTTAAGAAATAATTCTTAGTGCAAAAAGATCAAGTGTAAAAAAATAAACAATGATATAAAGATCTACATAAAATCAAAAAGGCAATTTTAGATATACAATGATACTAAAAACCTGATAATGAAGAACATACCTTCTCAAGTGCACATGAATTGTTCATAAAAATTGGTCATGTAGTAAAAAATATCATAGGTTTCATAAAATAGAAGCACTATAGACACTATCCCCTAATCACAGTGCAGTAAAACCAGAAATTTTAAATACAAAACACAAAATACCCTTCTAGTTCAAAATTAAATGATTTCCCATCAAATAACTCTTTGGTAACAGTGAAAATATAAACAAAAATCACAGAATTTCACAAAAATGATAAGAAAAACAATGTATGTCAGAATCTAGGGGATATAAAACAGTGATTAGAGGAAAATTCGCAGCCCCAATCATGTATATCAAGAAAATAATAGAATAGCAGTAAGTGAATTAAATTCCCAACCCAAAAAACTAGGAGAAAAACCACAACAAACTAAAAGATAGAATGGGAAGAAAATAATGAAAAGAAAACAAATCAATGACAGAAAAAAATAGATTGAAGCTACTACATATAAATTCTGGTATTTGGAAGCAGTGAACAATCAAGTGAACAAACCACTATCTAATATAATCAAGGATAAAAACCATGTATGGGAAAGCACACATAGATAAACAAGAAATCACCTTTGATCACTGATATGGGAGAAATTTTTTAATTCCGATGATGTCACTTGTCTGGCCTAGGATTGAAACCTAGGATGAAATAAGAGTAAGAGATAGCTTAAGAAGAAAACTTTCCAAAGGAAAGATACAAAGTTATCAGGGAAATACTGCACCAAAAGAGAATCAAGGCTATGTGATTTTCCAGGTGAATTTAACGAAACCTTTAGTGCAACATAAATTGTTTTAAAAGCATAGAAAATATAACTGAGAGCATAAAAATAGGGAAAAGGGAAATTAAAAAGTATCTTTTACAGATGACATGTCAGATGATACCTAGAAAATCAAAGACAAAACTTAATGACACAATGGAAGAATTTAGCAAGGAAGCAGGATAGATAGGAAACTACCCTAGAAAAATCAATAGTATTTTTGAAGATATAATGAATGAAATCAACATTTATAATAGCAACACAAAAAACTAAAATATTTAGGAATAACATTAACAGAGAATATTCAAAACCTAATGTAGGTTTTGTAGAAAACTATAAGCATTCCTGAGAGACACAAAAGGGAACTTGGAAAGACATCTCTTCTCAATTAGGGTGTCTCAACATTACTAAGATATTAGTTCTTCTTAACTTAATTCATAAACTCAATGTGATCCTAAGAGAAATTCCAAAGAGCTTTTAAAAAATAGTACTAAATAAGATGACCCTAAAATTTATATGGAAAAACAAAATCATGAAAATATAAGTAAATACTTAAAAGGAAAAGCTCTCAGGCAACACCAATCCATTGCTGTCCTAGAGCTGGCTTGCAGCTGTGTGTAAATATTTAAGAATTTTGTGATCTGGTGGTTTAACCATTGCTAGTTTAGAACTGGCCATCACAGAAGTATTTACACCACAGAAATTAGCAAGTGCTACAGATCAGGGCTTTTTCCTCGTCTCTTTTGGAGAGCCAGTTTACCAACACATCATCAGACTCCATTCCTACAAAGTAAAAATGCCACAAAGTCTTTTTTTTCTTTTTCTTTTTTTTTTGGCAGGACTGGGGTTTGAACTCTGGGCTGCACGCTTGCAAAGCAGGTGCTCTACCACTTGAGCTGCACCTCTAGTCCCCACAAGTCTTTCAGTTAAAATAAATATGTGGGACAGGCACATGAACTGGCAGGACAAGGGAATATAAATAGAAAGTCCAGAAAGAGACTTGAATCACTGGGACAAAAAGGCTTTTTAATAAATGATACTGGAAGAATTGGATAATCCTATGGAAAAAAGAAAAAATAGAGCTACTCCTCAAAACATATACAAAATAAATTCCAAATATATTAGAAATTTACACATAAAAAGTAAAACTATGTAAGTGCCAGAAGAAAACATTGGTGAATCCCTACCTTTATTATCTGGGCATGCAGAAAGATTTTCTAACTGTGAATAGACACCCAGACCATTAAAGGAAAATGTTTTAAAATCTGACTGCATGAAAATAAAAATCTTTACATGGGAAAAAAAACAACCAGTGAAAGAACAATTAAAAGACAAATGGCAAACATGGAAGACAGTATTTGTAGCATATATCACTGGTATACCAAATTTATTTTTTAAATGTTAACAAAAGACCAAAAAAAATCTATTAGAAAACATGAACTCAGAAAAAAAGCTGTAAAAATAGCCCATAAACCTATGAAAGATATTCCACTCACTCATATTAGGAGAAACACAAATTAAAACTACAGTGAAATACTGTCCTTCATCCCTCACACTGTCCAAAGGCCTGACAGTACACTCTGCTGGTGCAGCTGTAGGCAATAGGCACTCACACATGGGAGGGAAGGCAAACTGGCACAACACTCATGGAGGGGGATTTGACACTGTCTAAGAAAACTACATAGGTATTTACCCCTTGGCCCAGCAATCCCACTTCTAGGAATGTCCTCTGAAGATACTTCTCCAACAATATGAAAATACATATGCACAATATTATTCATTACAGCCTTGTTTCTAAGTACAAATTGTTTTAAACTACCCCAGTATAGGAGACTGGTTGGATAGCTACCGTACATCCACAAAATGAAGTATTAAGCAGCCCTAAAAAGGAATAAAGAGAATCTCTATGAATCAGTATGGAGGGACGTTCAGGAGATACTATTAAGTGAGAAAAACAAGAGGAAAAGAATCATATATAGTATGCTACTTTTTTCATAGCAAAGGACAAATAAGGAAAATACATATCTGCATATCTTTGCATATCTTTACCATAAACATGGTTACAAAGGAACAGGGTGGAAGCAGGGGCCATTGGATGCAAGGGATACAAGAGAAAGTGACACTTCTCTTGTGGAGTTTTGACTTTTAAAAACGTGATAATCTACACATTCAAAAATAAGCTCAAATGAAGGAAGAAATTAGAAAGAGGAAAAATTAAAATGAATTGAAACAAGTGAGTCAAATGCTATTTCAAATTATCCATAACCACAGTGAAAGGGAGAAATAAATGAATTAATATAGGTTATTTATGAACTCAGTATTTGACTGAATGTCCTCAGTACTTGGGCAAGACAGTATATGGAGACAGGAAGGAAGGACTGCAAATAGATCTTGAATTTCTATTAAGTCAGTATGTTTATGAAGTGACATTGGTAAGGAAATTACGAAACTATTTCAGATTCATTCTTGGGCTGAGCAAATGAGTAATCTACATTGCTGTGGAGTAAATATGTTGATCGAGCCAGGGTTCTCGCAGTAGAAGAAAGAACAGACAAACACGGAATGGAACAAGGCAAAGAGACCTGTGAGGATGCTTTGGAATCAGAGGTGCTGGCTGCTTTTGAGGTGTGTATGTGTGTCTGTGTGCAGTGGCCGGGGGGAGGTTGTCCAAGAGGGTGCATGGGCCAGCGCTGTGAAAAGGGTAAAGCAACAGTAAGTCTGAGTGGAGGGTCTTATTTTTATTTTTGTAACTTTACCACATTTTAAATTAGTTCCAAATAAAACAATTATTTTATAAAATTCATGACCTATAGCAATACACCGAAAATATTTTCCTCTGAAAATTTAGCTTATTATTTCCCAGAGCATGTATATTTTACCATGCTGCTACGATTAACCAACATTTTCTATAAAAGTACATGAAAAATATTATAGAAGTAAAAAAGTCAAGACTTGAAAATATAACATATAAACATTAGGTAAAATATTAGATATATTTATTTTAGTGTACATTTACATAAAATTAATTTAATTATGAAAACCTTTTATTTTTATGTTAGCATATCCTGGTAATCATGCTTAAATATCAGTTTCCTTCCTCCCTCAAACATTCACTGCAAATATTGCTATGTATTCCCAAGAGAACAGATCCTTAAACAGACTTACTCTTCTAGTGATCGATCGAGGCCTCGGTCAGGAGATCGATGGTGAGCACGTTCTGGTGAGTGACATTTTGAACTTGGCTTCATTGAGCTCAAATGATAAGCATTACTTGAGTAATTCTGGCGGCGAAGTTCTTGGACAGCCCTCTCCCTAAAGCAAAATAGTGATATCTTTAAATTTTATATTCCATGATATTACTGAAACCACCCCAATGATGCAGCTCAATTCATGCTTTCAAATCTAACCATCATGAAATAACTAAAACCTATTGTTGAGCTGGAAGTAGTGGTTCATGTCTATATTAGTAGCACTCAAGAGGCTGATGCAAGCAGTTGCAAATTTGAGGCCAAATTTTTTGAGCTGTCTCAAAAAACAAAACAAACAAATGAAAGAAAACCCCAAATAAGATCTACTTTTACCTAAAAGATAAGCTTTCCAGGCTGAATAGAGATAAGCTTACCTTTCAAAGCGCTCTGTCCCTAGTTGTCTTTTAGTAATGTCTAAATCCGCTTCCAATTGTGTCACGACATTTCTGAACTGGGCCACATCTCTACTCTGGATAGCCCTGTGTAAGTGAAGATAAGAGTGGCAGCTGATTCAACTTAATGTGACTGTGACTCCTAGAATGGATTCCACCATGTTGGCAACAGTTTCTCAGCAACCTCAGTCTCATTCAATTAATTAAACTTTTTCTTAGCCTCACTATGTATAGATGGAACAATGTACATGCTATTAATCTGTATTATCCATTTACTGCAAATACTTCTTACAAAAGTACTTTGAAATATTACATAAATGTTAATCAGTATGATGATCGAATTAACACTGGAATTTACTAGCACCAGGTTAATATGGTCTGTTTTATATATGTTAATTTAAACACTTTATATGTACTTAAAATGAAATTTAATATGCACAGTGTTACACACATAAAAATTCTTCAATTTAACAGGATGTTCCTTAAGGCTGAACCATGCTTCAAAAACCCTGTGATAGAGCACACCATCATGAAGAGAGTGACAGATGAGTGTGGCTTGCATAGAACATTCTGTCCTCTTTGCTTGCTTTCAGGATGGCAGTGCAGACTGCTGAAATCTAAATGTAAGAGTAAGAACATGGAATTTTATCATGCTAGCAGTTCTGAGTGAGCATGTACCAGCTAGTCTAAAACAGAGTGTACCCCTTAAAGTGGGAGATTTTCTCCCACTAGCTTGAGGTAAGGATCCTATAGAACCAACTGAAGATATCACAATAGCCCAACTACAGTAAGTGAAAAGAATGACTCAGTGACCTCTGCCAGGACCTGGGAGTGTGTCTGAAGGAAACAGGCCGTGGCTCTGTGGCTTTAGCTCACCAGGAGCTCCTAGGAGTATCTGGTTGCTGAGACCATGATTCCTATGTTTTCCCAGGTCCAGGCTCAGATGAGAAGGCACAGTAGAGGCTAGATGAGAAAGTGTTCTAGTTGGGACAGATAAGAACACAGCCTAAGAATAGCCATTAGTTGTTAGTTTAGTAAAAAGTAAACATTCACTATCCAGCCAAACATTTCCATCCAAATCTCCAGCCAGGGGTCTTTTGGACTGGGGTTTGAACTCAGAGCCTCATGATTTCTAGGCAAGTGCTTTGCCACTTGAGCCACGCTCCCAGCTTGCCTCAAACTACCATCCTCCTGTTCTGTGTCTCCCACATAGCTGGGATCACAGGTGTGAGCAACTGTGCCCAGCCTGCTAGGGGTCTTCTAAGAAGGTGCTAGTATTGCTAGGGATTCTTAAGAGAAAAACAGAAAAGAAAAAAAAAAAGACTCTGGGAAGTGTTCAGAATTTTGTGAATTCAGGAGTTCTTACAGGTGTCCAGTACACATTTATAGATACAAAGGAACTACTATGTGACAAATGGGAAGACTAGATAGCAATACCACACAATCCATAAAAATAAAAATTATCTGATTTCACAGCGCTTAATTTTTCTACTCTGCTTATATTTCCTAATGGCAGTGTTTTAGATCAGACATTCTATCCTACCGCAATCCTTGCCAGAAACAATCAGCAGAGGTGGTTAGAATTAAATATCTTAGATAAGGGAAAACATAACAGATAATGGTATCAAATCTTAGGCAAATCTCAATACTTCTGATCCTCAGTTTAATTAATGGCAAATTATGGGAGCTATATTCTCTACATTCTAACTTTAAAATTCTAATAGTCTATAATGTACCAAAACCTAAATACAACCTTATGTTATTGTTAGCAAACGCACATTTTATTTTCTGCCAAACAAAGGTGTTCTTTAAGAAGCTGAATTTCAGATTCTTTTTCTTGAAGTGCTATCTGAGACTGATATTCTTTGTCTCGATTGGCCACCAGCAAAGCTTCTAGATTCTGCATGGAGATTCTCTCATTTGTCATCTGACTCCTGAGGAGTTCTATTTCAGAACGAGCAGAATCTAACTCATTCTCCATCTGTATAATAATAGGAAGATAGTTACACTTATTCCCATTCATTCACTTAACTGACATATTAGCAGGGACTCAGAAATTTTTGCCATGTTATAAACAGAGAATCACTTTTAATTTCTTGATTTGAAATAGTGTCCTCCTAAATAGTACATATACAATACACACGTGTATAGTGCCACTTTCCTCATCTCTCTGATTAAAAATTCATTAGTTTATGTCAACTTATAATTCCCAAGCTGAAACCAATTTCTATCTTCAGTTTTGGTTATTTCTTTTTCTTTTTTTGGTTATTTTTTTATATTCTCTGGCATGTCATGCATATACAACTGACATGGTAGTATCTGTGACTCCTGCTTGTCTTGAGTTAGGTGAGTTACAAACACCTAACTTCCATATGGAATATCATTGTACTCCATAATTAAGGAACATAAGCTGTAGATGTGTATTCCCTCTCTTACATAGATCTATGGAAAATTTTCCTAGATACAATGCAAAATAAATTTAATCACATAAAGAAATATTTTGGTGTTCAATTTAAATCAAAATATGAAAACAACCGTAAAGAAAATAAACTCAGAAAATTAAAGTCAGTATGTTTATTAATATAAAGAATTTATACAAACTGATGATGAACGTGAACTAATGATATGTCAGAAAATTTGCAAAAGAAAAATTATAACAGGAAACACATTGAAAAAATGTACACTTGCTAGTAGTCAAATAGATACAAACTCAAATAAGATGTTATTTATAGTCCAGAGTTTCCTGACACTACTAACCTTTTGGATTGGACAGTTATTTGGTGTGGGGGACTGCTCTATGCATTGTAAAATGTTCAGCAATATCCCTGACCTTTAGCCACCATTATTTCCCACTCTGGTCATGACAATCAAAATGTACCTAGGTGTTCCTAAATGTTTTTCAGTTGAATTGAGAAGTCTATCAAAGACATTATTCCAGTTTGTCAAATTAGTAAATTTGTTAGTTCATATTAACAAACATTAAAAGAGGCAACGACAATCTCACAAATTTTCTGGTGGGAATACAAAATGGAACATCATTTTTTGGGCAATGGCTATACTGGATTACAATTCACATACCATATACCTCAAGCCCTTCAAGTATCAAATTCAATTATTTTTAACATATTTACAGAGCTATGAAATCATTGCCAAAATCTAATGTTAGAACTTTTTCATCATTTAAAAAAAGGAACTCAGTGCCAACTAGTGGTCACCCTGTCCTTCCCCCATGGCCCTAAGCAATCCCTAATTTACTTTCTGTCTCTATAATTCACCATATTCTTGACATTTCATAAAATGGAATCATACAATGTGCATGTGGTCTTTTGTGACTGGCATTCTTCACTTGGAATAAAGTATCAAGAGCATCAGTGTTTTACCAGGTATCAGTGCTTTGCTACTTGTGTTATCTAGTGACATTCCAGTGCACAATGCACCACGAATAACCATTTGTGAACTGTGAACATGTTAGTTGTTACACTTTAGAACTATTATACAGAATGCTGCCATGAACACTGTGTACAGTTTTATGTGGACATATGCTTTCATTCCTCTTGGAAAGTTAGGAGTAGGATTTCTGGGCTGTGTGGTCATTCCATTTTTTACATTCTGAGGAACTGCTCAAGTGTTTCCTAAAGTGGCCTCATTATTTTACATTCCCATCATCAACATATGGGGGTTCCACTTTCTTCACATCTTTGTCAATACTTCTTATGTTCTCTTTCATTGAAGCCTCCCTAGTGGTTGTGAAATGTATGGTTTTGATGTGCATTTCTCTGATCGTCAATGATACTGAGTATCTTTTCATGTGGTTGCATTTCTTCTACAAGAAATGTGCATTGATATCCTTTGCTCATTTTTAGTTTGGTTATTAAGCTGTAAGAGTTCTTTATTCATACAAACCACTTATCAGATAAATGATTTCTCTCATTTTGTGATTTGCAGCAAAAAAATTATTTAACTGAATTATTTAATCAATTTTTGCTAGCTTTTTAAAATGTATCTAAGAAAGTAGCTACCTAACCAATTGCCACAATGACTTACTTCTACACTTTCTTCTTTAGAGTGCTATAGTTTGTTTTAGCTCTTACATACAGGTCTATGATTCATTTTAAGTTAGTCACTTCTGGGATAAGAGGTAGAAATCTAATTTCATTCTTTCCTATGTATATGTTCAGTTATTCTAACATCATTTGTTGAAAATACTATTTTTTCATCCTCAAATTATCTTGGCACCAGATTTTTGAAAATCATCTGGTCTCAACCGTCAAGGACTATTTTTGCAGTCCCAGTTCCATTCCTTTGGCCATTGAGTCTTTCCTTAAGCCACCACAGCACTGTCATCATTTCTGTAGTTTTACAGTTCTGAAATCATGACATATGAATTCCACAACTTGGTTCTTTTTCAAGATTTTTTGGGCTATTCTGGGTCACTAGCACTTCCATATGAATTTTAGATCAGCTTGTTTTCCTTTTATTTCCTTTTCTAGCTTAACTCCCTGGCTAGAACCTTCGCTACAATGTTAAGCAGAAGAAGCAAGACCAGTACTCTTCTCGCCAGTATTCCTACGGTTAGATTTCTACAGAGACGACACCTGGGATCCTGAGAGACACTGTATTGCATTTGAACATCAATGCAGAGGCTACTGCCATCTTAACACTGCTGTTCTGATCCATGAATTGGTCTTGAATTTCTTTTGATAACATTTTGTAGTTTTGTAAAGTACAAGTTTTGTAGTTATTTGCTAAATTTATTCATAAGTATTCAGTCCTTTTCCTTTTTTTTTTTTTTTTTTGGCAGTACTGGGGTTTCAACTCAGGGGCCTATACCTTGAGCCACTCCACCAGCCCTTTTTTTTGTGAAGGACTTTTTTGAGATAGGGTCTCATAAACTATTTGCCCAGGCTGACTTCAAATCATGATCCTCCTGATCTTTGCCTCCTGAGTAGCAAGGATTACGGGCATGAGCCACACGCACCCAACTATTTTGTCCTTTTCTGATGTTCCACTTTTCGATATAATTGGATTTGATAGAATCATTTTCTCATTTTCATTTTCTGACTAATCATTGCTAATGTAGAGAAATAAGGAATACAACAGATTATTGTATATTTATTGATTTTGTGTTCTAGAATTTTACCAAACTTCTTAGTTCTCCTAGTTTTTTTAGTGGATTCCTTAGGATTTTCTATGTCCTAGATTATAGTGCCCACAAACATTGAGAGTTTTTACCTCTTTATTCAGTCTGGATGCTTTTTATTTCTTTTTCTTGCCTAATTTCCCTGGCTAGAAGGTCCATCAAAATCCTGAACTGCAGAGGCCTCGTAGGCATTCTTGTCTTGTTATTTACATCAGGGGAAGAGTATAAAGTCTTTCACCTTTAAGTACAGTATGCTGTAGCTTTTTCCTACATGCTCTTTGTAAGGTTGGGAAGTTTCCTTCTGTTCTTAGTTTATAGAGTGCTTGTTGCCATGCAAGGGGATTGGATTTTGTGAAATGCTTTCCTGCATCTACTTGAGAAGACAGTGTGGTTTTTGTTCATGATAATATTGATAGGACACATTACATGAATTGATTCTCAAGTGTTCAACCAATCCTACATTCATGGGATAAACCCCATTTGATCATGGTGTAAAAGCCATTTTATGTTTGTTAGATTCAGTTTTATAGTATTTTCTTGAGACTTAAACAATCTACAGTCATAAGAGAAGTTGGTCTATAGTTACTTTCTTGGGATGTTTTCTGCTTCTTCCGGCAGTGTGGTGACACTGGCATCATGTGAGATGCACAGGGTAGTGATCTCTCCCCTTCTATCTTTAGAATTGGTGAACATTTTGCATCAATTCACCTTGAAATATTTGAAAGAATTCACAGCTAAAGTAATCTAGGCCTCAATTTTGCTTCACAGTTCTCACATTTCTGTTCAAGCTCTTTATTGATAATAGGTTTATTCAGTCTTTCCATTTTTCCTTAACTCGGTTTCAGTAGTTTTTGTTTTTCTGGAAATTCACTGATTTCATCTAAGTTACTTAATGTTTGGCTTTCAGTTGTTCATAATATTTCCTTTTTAAAAATGTTTTAATTAGATATGCTAGTTACACAAGGGGTTTCATTGTGACATTTTCATATATACATATATTATGCCCTGGTTTGGTTCATCCCCTCCATTATTCTCCCTCTTTCCCCACTCCCCTTCTTGAAATGGCTTTGACAGGTTTCAATGTTCCATATTCATATGTGTGTACAAAGTTCCCCAGCCATATTCACCCTCCTTTACCCTCTCCTCCTCTTTTCCGTAAGATCAGTATAGGCCTATGTGGTTGCTCCCTCTGAGTGGAATGCCTCTTCCTTCTGAGTTCAGTAGTCTTCCCTGTGAACTCCTCCCTGACAACCCTAGGCTGAATAAGATTTCCCTCTATAAAGCCTTGGTAGAACATTCATCCCAAATTACTTATGTGCCAACTCTGGGAAGTCCTTGAGGGCAGGAGCCTGTATATTTTGAACATTATATTCCCAGTGGCAGTCACAACGTCAGGCACAAAATAAACACAATCAACTGAATAACAGTTTAAAAGAACCCATCCAGTTAGTAAATACATAGGGCTTAAAAGAATATTTCTAAGGTTATAATTTAGCAGAGTAAACCTCAGCTTCTTTGTTCTTAGCTGACTGCTATGCCAATGTGTTGTATAATTCTGCCTAAAAAGTAATGCAAACCACACGTTCAAGGAAGATTTTCTGTTATGTTCTTGAATTGCTTGGAAAATAGTGGAAATACATTAATCTCTTTAAATATAAAAATCCAAAACAATCTAAAATTCAAAGACATGTCTTCATATAATATCCTATAAAAATAAAAAGAACTGTTTTGTGAAATTGCAGGAATGCTACATCAATAGCAATATTAAAGAAGCCTTTAAAAAGGTATTACCTACCATTTCTATTTCTTGATCTTTAGCAACCAGCTGTCGATTTAGAAGTTCTTTGCTTGAGTCAAGTTTAATACAGAGTTCCCTTGTGGAAGACAGATCTGCAAGTGCAGATACCTTTTCAAACTGAACCTTCTGAAGCTCCTCTTCCATCTTCACAACAGATTTGTGTAAGGTTGAAATCTGGGACTTGTAAGATCTTTCTGCATTTAAGTGCTGCAATGACAAGATTATTTTATACATGTATGTATATATAATTTTTTTAAAAATGAAGAAAAACTACAATATGGAAAACAAAGTGTGGCAAGTCTTTTAATACTAATATACTTAGATCCTAACAAGCTTAGCCATATAGGTGGCAATGACATGTACAAAACACACAGATTTCCTTAAATCAAATCCATGAGTAGGGTGATCACTTCAGAGATTAAAAAGTGTTCTTAGGAAAACATAGCTCCATCTATAGAACTATGTATGTTTGGTTTGTAGTTCTGCAATATAAATATTGCTATTGCTAAACACAAAATGAATGCTTCATTCACAGCACCTGGTTTTGATTGGTATATTAAGATCAATCATAATATCATAAAACAAGGACTGATAATTCTCTAGCACTTGTGAATAATACCTCTGAAGGAAAAAGATTCTGGCAAGTATAAACTAAGCATACATCCAATTATAGGAAATAAGAATATGTTTTTAAATCTATAATAGAATCAAACATGGTAGTGCACATGTGTAATCCCAGATATTTGGGAAGCAAAGATCAGGAAAATCATAGTTTGAAACCAATCTGGGCAAAAAAATAGTGAGAGTCCATCTCAATAATCAAGACAGGTATGGTGGTTATATGGGAGGCTTTAGATAAGAGGATTGAAGTCTGAGGCTGGCTGTAGGCAAAAAAGCAAGACCCTTCTTGAAAAATAAACTAAAGCAAAAAGGGCTAGGGAAATGTGGCTGCCTAGTAAGTGCAAGGCACTGAGTTCCAACCCCAGTATTACAAAAAAAAAAAAGACAAAATAAAAACAAAAAAAGTAACATGATATTCAAGTTACATAAATGCTTTCAAATGTTCAAAATAATCCCACTCCCCCCACTTTTTTTTTTCAGAATAATGCTTTACATAAGTGCACTGCCACCTATAGAGGAGCAGTTGTTTGCTATAATGTAAAGATAACAGAATTAAGATGTGAAGAAATGTATGTGCCTTTGTAAGTATAAAGTATTAAAAACTGTTTCTGGATTAAGTTATTTGGCCACAATTCATTTCCACCCTTCTCCCTCTATCTCTCTTCTTTCTGTACTCATCCTTCCTTCCTTCTATCCATCCACTCCACCTTTATGCAGTGTGTTCTATGTGCCTAGATTCATAATCAACAGGAAGGAAAATGATGTCTGCTCTCGTGAAACTTACAGATACTTGTGTCAGTCAATAATGATACAGACAAATGTATGAATACATATTAAGAAAATATTTCTGGAGGAAAAGCCTGTAACAAAGGAAACTGACCTAGACTGCAAGAGTGCAGTAAGTCAGGAAAGGTTTCCATGAGAAAGTGACTCCAGCTGAGCAGTGAGTAGGCAAACAGGTACTGGGGAGGGGAGCTCCTCAAACTGCAGGAATGCTAAGTGCCATAGCACTCTGGAGGCCACATGTGCTTTCAGTTAAAAGAGAGCTGGTGTGGCTGGAGCTTAGCATCCAAGGAAAAGAGTGATAGGAGATGCAGTTGAAAAGGGATACAAAATGCAATTCAGGCTTTAGTGACCCATTCGAAAATTGATTTTAAATAGGTAGGTGATCTGATCAGGTTTGTGCTTTGAAAAGATCATTCTGAATGTTATAGGTCCTAGTAAGATGGCTAATCAAGCCAAGAGGAGAACTCTCCATGTAAATTGAACAATAACATTTTTTTTTCAATTCTCAGCTGAGCTTACAGGGAAGAAAAAGAAATTATCATTGCCCAAAACAAAGGAAACAAAGGCAGAGAAAGCTATGGGCAGGCATGAATCTAAGTTTAGGGGTAGGAAGATCCAACAATAGAGAATGTCTTACACTTATCAAGCCAGGATAATAGATAAGGATTTAGGACTAATGTAGAGTTAAAACTGAGAATCTAGGGCTGGAGGGTGTAGCTCAGTGGTAAATCACTTACCTAGAATGCATGAAGCCCTTGGTTGGATCCTCCAGTACCACAAAACAAGACTAAACAAATCAGAACTACTACTTAGATAAGGACACAGAGGTAAGCATTTGAAATTTGTTGGGTAGAGTTTCATAAATGAAGGATCTACACACACACACACACAAAATAAGAGATGCAGAAATTTGCCTTGAGTCTGTTGCTGAACACTAAGCCATGAATGTGTAAGGGGAAACTCCAGAAGACAGGGAGCTCTAGGATAAACAATCCCAGAGCTGATATACAGTTGGAGAAGCATCAGTTTCATTAGCCAGAATGAAGCGTCCTTAATGAACACCTTGGGCTGGGTATTCATTTTATAGATGCTCCCAGAGGCACACCTTAGCTGTAGGGATAAAATGGTCCTACAGAAAAGACTACTTTAAACCTGCTCTATCAAAACTTAAAAACAATCTTAAAAGGATCAGGTGATCTGCAAGTACCCTTTTTAAAAAGTCAGCAAAATCTAGCATTCCATAAGGATTCACAATGTACAGCATCCAATTTTAAGAAATACCAGAAATGTTAAGCTGCAGAAAAATGTGACCCACAATCAGAATAAAACTTAGTCTTTGTAAATAGATGCAAAAAATTTTACAGAATTAGAAGACAAAGGCTTTAAAACAGTTATTATCCAGGTAAGAGGGAATAACAGGTATGAATTACCTTGTTTCTATAAACAAGTAAAAAGAGGAACAAAATACAGGAGGAAAACCAGTTTTCAGATAATAAGATAGCAGATAGCATAGATTACGATCTTTGAGGGAAGGAAAACCAATGAGGCAAAACTAAGGGTAACATGGCATCTTGCTAGATGCAAATTCTGGACCATGATTCAGGAAGAAGAAAATCCAGTCAAATGATCTCACTGAATTTAAGAGACAAACAAAACTTATGGAAGCTGAGGTGACTAGAATTGTGGACAAGAGCACAAGAGAAGATTGACCTATGCAGAGAAATAGTGCCAGAAATCTGTATACCCAGAGGCAAAATTCTATGAGGCCAGACAAGAACTCAACTTCCTAGAAAAGTTAAATTACCAGAAAATCCAGAAGCCAAGCGATTTCCACATTTTATGTGGGGGGGGGGCAGGAATCATTTGATATCCCAGTAGCCAGAATGGAGATACTGTGACCACTGTACTGAATATAAAAGGCATTCAATAGAGATGTTCTCTTAATAGTGGGACAAATAAAGCCCTAAAATAAAGACCACTTTATACCTATCCTAAAGAGCTTAAAAATGATTTTTCAAATAATTAAGTGACCAACAAGTAATTTAACATTGTGGCAGGATAAAGTACTTTATTTTAAGTGCAGAAATAATATTTTATTTTTTCTTGTTTATTTATATGTGCATACATTGTTTGGGCCATTTCTCTCCCCTATCTTCCAGCCCCCTCCCTCTCCCCACTAACCCCTCCCTTCCAGGCAGAACCTGTTCTGCCCTTATCTCTAATTTTGTTGAAGAAAGAGTATAAACAATAATAACAAAGACAAAGCATTTTTGCTAGTTATGAGATAAGGATAGCTATGCAGGGAGATTCCTAGCATTGCTTCCATGTATAAATGTGAATACTTTTAAAATCCAGCTCTCAACATAAAATTAACAATGTCTAGAATCCCAAATTGCTGGATGGACCCAAAAGTAGGAATCTGAGAACCACAACCAAGAAAACAAAGTCAGTCAATAGATAGAGAATCCAATGTTACAGAGATGACAGAACTAGCAAAAAAGGTCATACTCAATATGACCAAGGATTTAAAGAGAAAAATGAGTGAAATGAATGGATCTATAGATCACCATGTTAAGCAAAATAAGTCAGGTTCAGAAGGACAGAGGTCACATGTTTTCTCTCATATGCAGAATCTGGATCTAAAAGATATGTGCATATATATATATATGTGTATAACACAATTATAATTGTGAGGCTGTTTACGGGGTGGAAAGAGAATGACAGTGGCGTGGACAATATAAAAATGCATTATGCCCATATATGAAGATGGCATAAGGAAACCCATAGAAAATGGGGAGGAGAAGAGACAGCAATAGAGGGGACTTATCTGATCAAAGTACAAAGGGTTGGAGGTGTGGTTCAAATGATAAGAGCACTGGCTAGCAAGTATTGCCTCACTATCGCCCCCCCCCCCAAAGACAGCACTGATCAAAGTATAGTAGATGTATGTGTGAAATCCCTTTATATAATTAATAAACTCATAAAAAATGGAAGTGAAAGACATTTAAAGTAACCAAGTAGAATTTTTAGAGATGAGAAAGGGAATGTCATAAATGAATATATCACTGCATGAGGCCAACAGTAGATTAGACCAAGAAGAGATCAGTAAAATTTAAAACACAAAATAGCAACTATACAAAATAAAACACACACACAAAAGACTGAGAAAAATTGGACATAGCCTACTATCTATATAACAATATCTTGATTCTAGAGGATGACACAAAGAAGAGACAAAAATATTTGAAGAAATAATGGCAAAATATATTCTGAATTTGATGCAACCTGTAATCCCAAGGAACCCTAAGTGTGAACCTACTAAGTAAGAGGATTATAAAGATATACTATAAACAACTGTATGCCACTAAGTTAAGTAACTCCAATGAAATGAACAAATTCCTAGAAAGCACAAACTTTTAAAACTGAATTCAGAATTAACTGAATGACCTATAACAACAGAGATTAAATAGCAATTTTGAAATTTCCCACAAAGAACAGGTCTAGATGGGTTTACTGCTGAATTCTACCAAACTTTTAAAGAAGAATTAACAATTATATACAAACTCTTACACACATACAAAAAAAAAAAAAAACAGAAGAGGAGGGAACACTTTCTAAGTCATTTTATGAGGTCAGTATTTTTTATATCAAAGCCAGACAAGACATTACAAGAAAAGAAAACTACAGATATTCTTAAGAATAAAGGCACAAAATCTTCCTCAACAACAACAAAAACAAGTACAAAACAAAACAAGTAGAAGCATAAGAAATAATTATACACCATGACCAAGTAGGATTTA